AAAGATGTTAAAAAAGATTTCAAATATTTCAAAAATATCATATTTCTTTTATAGGTGATATACATGGCCAGTATTACGATCTGTTAAGGTTATTTGAATACGGTGGATTTCCTCCCGAATCAAATTATCTTTTCCTTGGTGATTATGTTGATAGAGGAAAACAATCATTAGAAACAATCTGCCTTTTGTTGGCGTACAAGATAAAGTATCCCGAGAATTTTTTTATTTTAAGAGGAAATCACGAATGTGCAAGTATTAATCGTATTTATGGCTTTTATGATGAATGTAAGTGAAAAAAAAAATAAAGAGTCAAATTTGAGAATTACGAAGAATTATGAGAATTATATTATATTATTATATTATTATTATTATTTAAATAAAAATCACAGGTAAGCGAAGGTATAACATCAAATTGTGGAAAACCTTTACGGATTGCTTTAATTGTTTACCCATCGCTGCAATTATCGATGAGAAAATTTTTACCATGCATGGTGGTCTGTCACCCGATCTTCAGAGTATGGAACAAATTCGAAGAGTTATGCGACCAACAGATGTGCCCGACACTGGTATAAATTTATTATTATTATTATTATTATTATTATTATTATTATTATTAATTTTTTTATTATTTCTATTTAGGTCTATTATGTGATTTGTTGTGGTCTGATCCCGACAAGGATATCTCTGGCTGGAGCGAAAACGATCGAGGTGTATCCTTTACATTCGGTCCTGACGTTGTAACTCGGTTTTTGCAAAAGCATGATATGGATTTGATATGTCGAGCACATCAAGTGGTGGAAGATGGTTATGAATTCTTTGCTAAACGACAGCTTGTTACTTTGTTTTCCGCACCGAATTATTGTGGTGAATTTGATAATGCTGGTGCGATGATGAGTGTGGACGAAACTCTTATGTGCTCGTTCCAGGTAAATTCTTTAAAATTCTTGATTATTGAATTTAATTAATTACACTTATGATTTATTGATTGATTGATTGATTGATTGATTGATTGACTTAATTGATTTGATTTACTTTTATTTTTATTTTATTTAGATTCTCAAACCAGCCGAGAAGAAACAAAAGTATCCTTATGGTGGCTTGAATACAGGACGACCTGTGACTCCACCACGCCCTAAGAAGAAGAAGGAAATGGAAATGCATAAGAAGAAGGAAAAGGAAATTCCCAAGGTTACATAATTAAAATGATATTTAGAATATATAATATCCAAAGTCTTTTTTTTTTTTTATAGACTGGGTAAAAAAAAAAAACTCATGTTTACGACTACTATTACTACTACTATTACTACTACTACTACTACTACTACTATTACACTATTACCACTGCTTTGAATGAATGAAAAATGAATGAATGAATCAATCAATGAATTGA